TTCGGCATGGTTGATTTGGGGTGCGCTTTCAGAATGGGTTGAAAACCATAGGGGGGAGTATAGCATTTGAGATGCGGGGTTAGCGACTGCTTGCTTTAGTGCCCTCTCCTGCTAGTCTCTGCAGAAGAAGCGAAGAGGGTCATGAGTCATCACGTTAAGGCGCAGGGAAAAACTTTTCCCGAGACCTGCAAGCCGCAAGACCAACCTCACCTGAATGTGTGGTTTAGGGTTCAGGCGAGGAGCCTCGGATGCTCGGGCAGTGAAGGCCTCCCAGAGGCAAAAGCATCCCAAACGCTACGAGAACGTGAACAGCGCATATTCTGAAACCTCGTCGGCAACTTCGGAAATCCCAGCCCGGCGCTTGCCGAAGCATCGAGCGGAGCACAGATTTAAGAGAGAAGCCAAACCCTTCCCCTGGCCTTCTCCCTGCAATGATCCTCCCCAGCTCATCCGGGTTCTCGGCTTCTCGTCGTCGTTGGGGCATCCCCAGCTGACAAAAAAACCCTACCCGGCTCCATACTCCCCACAAACAGCCCCCTCGAGAGGGCACGTCCCTGAAGCGTCAGAGCCCCAAAACACCCACCCGCCGCCTAATCTTCTTGCACTCAGGGACCTTGGAGTTCTCCCACTGATTGCAGCCGAGGCCCCTTGTTGGGGGATAGCGGTTGAGTACATTTCCTAAACCCCGCCTCCTCATGAGGCGATGGCGGCTTATCGCATTCTGTAACCTGCACCGTCGTTAGGTGATGGCTGTTGATCACGTGCCTCATTAGCCAACGCGCCGCCCCCTCAATAGGTGATGGCGTTGATCACCGTTGGTGAAGCCGCCCCCTCATTAGGCGATGGCGACTGATCGCAAAAAAACCGGTGGCTGCGCTAGCCTTTCGTGACTGGTGGAACCCAAAAGTTCGACAGTGGTGCCATGTGGTGGAATGTTGTCGACTTGGGACCTCAAAGAAGTAGACGCTAGCGGGTTTGGACTTTGTGCGATGGGAGCATGCTTCATTTGCAGAGGCTGCGGGCGATGCTCTTCAGACGCAAACGAAATCATTCAAAATCACTCGCCTCGCCGCATCATTTCACTAACCAACCGCATATGCCGGTTCAGCTTGCTACGCGGCGATGAACGACACAATAAACCTCTGCAGGGCTTGCTAAACGATGTCCAGCGAAAAACCTAACATCCAGGGTCACGCAGAACACGGCGCTGCCGTGACCGATCTGCAGCCGCGAAATCAAGTAAGTACGCGCCGCCTGGGAGAGATCTTCCCACTCAAGCCGCATAGCCTCTTCAGATGGCTGTTGCAAAGGTCCAACTTGGCCAGCTATTGTATTGCCATTCAAGGTCTGCGGAACATGCTCAACGCGAGACCTTGAGCTGCACCATTTGATCGCCTGGAACGGCCTTAAGCCACAGACAGCATTGCAGCCAATACCCTGACTACCCTCCATCTGAGCTTGCATCTGACGCTCCTCGGCCCATGACCTCACGCCAAGCAAGCTTCGAAAGAATGAGGCAAAAGCTCTTTGCAGCTCGCAAGCCATAATCAACCGGGGTTCACAAATTTGTTTTCAGGCCTGAATGCAGTCCTACCACCTCCAGCCCTCTTGGGAGCAGCGTTTGAAACTCACTTGTCTGCAACAATACACAGCTTCACAGGCCATGCATGGACCAAGCATAGCAACAGCAACGCAGAAGCGGGGGAAGCCGTCTACAAGTGGTCGAAAGCGCTGGAAGCAAGCCGAAACTGTGGCTGCAGACAAGCATTGGTGCCAAACCTCTCAGGTGATTCCGCCTGTTGTGCCAGCGGTTCACTGCTGCGTATCGTCTATTCCACCTTCACAAGCACCCTCAAGTTCATGAACAACTCCTCTAAGCATTGCGGCTCAGGCCTTCGACCATTGAGCAGGAATGGCACGTGGACAGCAGCCACATGAACCAACCTCAAGACGATATGACGCAGCCGATCGCTGCACACAAACCGACTGATTTGCAGGCGAGATTCTGGAGAGATATGGAAGACAAGCATTGCGGAGGTCATCCGTCTCCTTCTGGAGTTTCTCGAACTCGGCATCAACCTCTCTGCATGGTTGACTGCCCGCCCAAGCAAGAACGGAAAACACAGTCATTCACAGAATTTGTAACCAGGAAACGATGGGGGACGCAGGTGAAACCGGGTCAGAACCTGCACCTTGAGGTAAACATGCAGAGTTTCAAGTGACCTCAACACCCACAAACTGCACCACAAAGAACTGGGGATCCTGCTATCGTTCTCTGCGGCATGGAAGACTGCAGGATTGACCTCAGGGCTTGGCTGCATGCATCCAGGACCTGTACACTAAACGAAGTTGCGTCAAGAAGCGACCGGAAGAAACGGAGATGGAGGCCCAGGTGGTATGGGCGATGGTGCATTCGCGACGGTGCCTGGATGTAGACAGGCAGCTCTACTGCACACTTTGCGCAAAGCTGCCCAAAGCTCAGATCCCCGCTCGTCAGTGAAATTGGGCTCGCCATGGCTGGTGCTGCAAAGCCGAAATGCTCAGATGGGCAGAGTATGGAATCTTTTTGGCACTCAACCTGCTGATGGCATACTCAGGGCCAAGCCTCATTGGGCTTCGGGCTCCGGAGCAACCTCCTTGGCATGGAGGCCAACATGCCAAAGCAGCCAAAGAGTGCGAATTTGAGGAGCAAACAGGTTGAAGGCAACAGCTGAAGATTCCACAAGTCCAAGCATTGACCTGCTCGAGAGCCTTGGCAGCGGGGACTTCCAAATCCCGCCAACAAGGACTTGCGGCAACTTGCGTGTTGCCACGTGGCAGGCCGTTGTTTTGTGTTTTTTAATCTCAGGCTGTCGCATAAGACTGCAACACGTCCCAAACTGTGGCTGCCTCTCGGACGTGCATGAAATACGAAAAGAAGCACCAACCCGGTTGAAGCCGATGCCAAAAAAAGCAAGCAAGTCTCTCAGCCAACACAAATGTAGAAGCGCTAGGCAGCCTGTTGCCGTTGGCGCTGCTCCTGCAGGGCAAGGATGGCCAAAAGAATCAATCCCGGCAAACGCCATGTCTCTGAAGGATTTATAGGGGCCTAGAGGCGTCTGTTGACATGGTTTGTCTCGCGTTATTGGAACATGTTTTCGGATTGAAGCGATTGTTGTTTAGACTCCCCGGGGAATGCCTCATAACCTCTTTAGTTCCAGCGGCCCACGCTTCAATTAGACTTGAAAACCACGTTGTCCTAGATTCAATTTCATAGACTGTATACTTTCATCGCGAACATGATTGGGCGCTGCAACTGCACATCACCCAGACCTGGCCTTCTTGAGTTGCTGAATCTCTCGCTTGAACTCTTCAATCTTCACCAACTTCTCGGCTTTCGACAATGCCATGAAGAGCACAGGGAGCAACAATGAGCAACTCAAGCAGCCTTAGAGTCTTGACCTGAGAGATGCAAAGCATCCACGAAAGACTCACATCTCGCTCATTTTTGTGAAACTCAGTCCGGAACAAAAAAACTGCGTTGCTTACACTCACCGGCCAGCAGAACCTAGCCCCCTTGAGAAGATGTGCAGGGTGAGAGCAAATCCAGAGCATCAAGCAGCCAGCTTCAGTGAAGCCAATCGGGCTTCTGCTTGCGGATGAGGGAGATATAGGGAGATGGTACACTGCCTCTTTTTTTTCTCCCCGACTCTGGAGTCTAGGTGTGCTTCCGGCGTCCGCTGCGCCGCACTTCGGGCCCCCTCCAACTTCGGCAACGTCCGCAGGACTCACATGTCCATGAGGTCGTAGGACATCGCGCCAGCTCGTTCTGCAAGCAGTGCAACAAGCAATGGACCCCTTCCGTGTGGTCTTTGGATCACGGACGGACTGTTGCTTTTTGTGCACGCAATGACACTGCAGTGGCCTGCACTTCCGGACATGTCCAGCAGGCTCGTCTTGCGCACGTAGGACTCGCTGGTCACCACCTCTCGGACCGTTCAGGATCCCTTTCTGACAAAGCTTTGCACCACAGGCCCCACCTCCTGCTCGAAGCCGCTGATCCTTGCAAAGACATTATCATCTCCATGACTACTGACATGACCGCTCAGCTTCTTGGACTTACTTATGCCTGGTACTTGCAATTTTTGCTGTCAAGACCTTGAACCCCAAGGTTGTTCTTCATCACTGGCCTCTGGGAGAGTTCCATGATCTGGCCAAGCTTCACCTGAGGCTGGCTTCCGCTTTGGGGTGCTATGCCTCAAAATTCCTAGACTCCTTCGCCATAGCGACACAAGCTTTGTGTGACTTCACCTTGGAAGTCTACACCAGGACGTCTGGCCTGGAGCGTCTGCATCATGTCGGTGTCTAAGTTCTCCGCATCCTGAATCATCCAATCCAGGAAGGTTCACTCTGTGTAGGGCGTGTCTTCGGGAAGACACGGAAGAGCCCTGCATAGTTTCAATACAGTACCCCTCTTTGGTGGGTTGAAGAGCAATTGGCCCCTGACCTGAAAGGATTCCGGCATTTGCCACAAGGATCTGTGCCGCAAAACTTTGGGCATCGAAGCAGGGGGCTGCAATCTTGGCTCGCCCTTAGAAAGTCCCACCCCTGCTCCGGGCACCTCAAAGGACACGTTGCCCGTGCGCTGGTCGATCCGGGCCTGCCGCACTGGGCCGCACTTGGGCTTGGGGTTGAAGGTTCTCAGGACATCCTCATGGTGACGTGCAAAAAGAATGCCATGGATACACACAGAGGCAGAGGAAAAATGCGCTCGCAGTCATTCATGGGTCAGGTCAGTCGGGTAAAGCCTTCAAATCTAGACAAACGTTCATGGCGGAATTGATAGCATTAGCACCTCTGATCATTGTCACACCAGGAAGACCACATGCAATAAAAAGACGATGCTCAGAGTGTAACGTCTAGGGTTTAGGATTCAGGGTTTCAGGTTCAGGGTTTGCCTTTGAGTTTCTAAGGTCTAGGATCTGCTTATAAGGTTCAGCATTTGGGGCCTTTGGACTTAAGACTCCCGGTTCAGCTTTTGGATTTAGGGCCTAAGGTTTTAGGATGCTGGCTTTGGTGGGGTAAAAGTCCCAAAGCAGTGGAGCCTGGATCTCTCCCTCGGAGATCATGTCGAAGAGCACTGCCTCAGCCTGGCGGTGAATTGAATGGTGGGTTTAGAAATGTTTTCTTCATGAGCCACTGCACATGTACTCCTCGCAAGATTACACTCTACTGATTATGAGGATCCAGCCGCAAGACATCTCGAGTCTGATTATGAATATTGTCCGTCGCGTCGCCTGTGCGTTTCTTGCTGCTGTTCATGTGTGACATCTGGAATTCTGTATCCCTCGCTTAAAAGGCTCGTCTTCCCTAGCTCTCTTACTGCTCTCTCATGACTCCAAACATGAGCATGATTTCGCTGATGACTATGATGATCATTCTCGATGTGACACCAGTGCAGTCAAGGCTTTGCAAAGCCCAATACTACAGTCAATGAAGTATTCCTCACACAACAAACCATACTCCCTTAACTATGCCTCTTCTCTTCACTTCTTGAAGGACTATGCTCTTGGACTCTTGGGGTATCTTGACAATGTCTTAGATATCGGCTGTTACCTTGCCATCGTGATGTGCTTCCCCTTTCCTAGAGTCAATGCAACGAGCTAAGTCACCAAAAATTGCAAGGAAGCCTGACCCACAACACACTTGAAAGGGTCGCATCCCCCCCTGCCTCAACGTGATCACCCAGTCCCGCCTGCGCGACGGTTTTGGGTTTCCAGGGCTACAAGCAAAGAGCACCAAAACAAACATCCAAACCAATGCTTGCAGGCCCTCTCCTCGGTGGCAATCTCTGCCAAGGAGAGCGTGAGATACCTGGAGTGTCATCAAAAGATTCGCGAAACCGCTACGTGGCATCCATGCAAAAGAGACGCGCACGTCTTGGTCAAGGTCCGAATCTTGTGTCTTCTCATGGAGGCAAGCACCTCGCGGATCTCCAACCCAGAAGGCCAAGACAGCTGAGTTTGATGTCATAGGGCGGTCAAGGGGAACCCTAAACCCGCGACCCTCATCACGAAGCTCCAAGGAAAGTGTGGAATGCGGCCTGCTTGGCCAGGCCCATGTTCTGATCCACCTGGCAGGTGAGGGAGACCAACGCTTGTCAGGGTTTGTTCAGGGTTTAGGGCTGTTAGTGTAGAGGGTTTAGGGTTTAGGATGATTAGGGCTCAGGGCTGAGGATCCACCAAACCATTGCTACTTACTACCGACATCCTTGAGCATGCCCTTCTTTGGGATCCTGAAACAGGGTCTGAGGAGGACAGGGGCTGCGGGACTTCCACGACAGCGGCCTCTATCGCGGGCTGCTTCTCTTCAATAATCCTGCAGGAGTGCAGTGGTGGTGTTTCGCCACGCCATGGTCTCCCCCAATATTTCCCCACAGAATTTTCAAGGGACTTCCAGAAGACCCCTTGAAACAGAAGACAGAGACCTGCTGGGGGCCTCTGCATTGCAGCCAGGTCTGCTGCCTTGAAGGCCTGAAGAAGGAAGCAATTTGAGGCCCGAAACTCGTGAAGTTCGGCTTCAGAGCCTCTGCAATATCCAGCACGTAGCTCGGGCTCTTAGAATACCTGCGCACTTGAGGGCTAAGAGTGAAAACTCGCGGGTGTGAGCGGAGAACAACATGTATTCCATTATCATGTTGCGACTTACTTTTCACTCACTTGGTACATTCGGTTTCCCACGCACCCGGAATCGCTAGCTCAAACCCTGACTCAATGTTCAGCTCACAAAGACATTCACTCATAAATTCGCTCTCTGTGGGGGTCCCTCACCATGTAGAGCGCCTGGAGTCCTCAGGTCCTGACGTACCAAAACTACATCTAGAGCCAGGGTTAAGAGGTACTACTCCTGAGGTACCAAAACTACATTAGAGCCTAAGAGCCGAGGCCTAACGGCGCATTTGTGCTTGCCTTATGTTGCCCAATACTTTCTTGCAGGACAAGGCAACAGCAATCACCATACGAACAAGTGAAAAATCTGAACAAGAAGCTGAATCTAAAGGTGAGTTGGAAGGTAAATCCTGAATGAATGTCCACATCAAGCAAGACTGAATCAAAAAAAGACAATTGACAGCTGAGACAGGCAAGAAGTCACATGCCCCTTTGGCAGCCCCAGGGGTCCTGGGTCTCAACTCTAGGGCCTGTAGGCGTTACAATTTTCAGATGGATTAGGATTAGGAGAGTGTTGGGAATAAGCTACCTTGCCTCTGCACTCCGCGCAGACATACATCTGCGTGCTGAACACCCTGAACACTGCACAGAACTTATCTGCCTCACCAGGATGTGGGAAGTATAGATCGGAAGCAGCTTCACCTCGCCATGTACCTGGACGTTTGCGCACTCCCTGGTCCCATAGACCCCTCTAGACCAGGGGTAGTAAAAGGTTGTAAATGTTCAGAAGAGGGCTCCAGGGATGAACCTGGCACTAACTGTTACTGTAGGGTCTCGCAAGCTCTAGCTTTGTGGTGCAGCTCAAGGCCACTGGCCTTCAGGCAAAGCAGCACGTACTTCTTGTACGCATCTGCCTGTAGCCATCAACACTCTCACTTCTTCCCACGCCCTTTGCACCACAGACAAACCTGAATGGCGCTCAGGCATGAGGCTGGGCCTTAGATCGTCAGTGATGAACCCCTTGCAGGACACACCAGAGCTCTCATATCCCTTGCCAAGGAACATGTCAGGACAACGAGCAGCAGCTGCAGGGCTTTGGGGAAGTCCCGCATTCCTGTCCGAGCGCAAGGCACCAACACCGGTGGCCTGAACGATGGCATCGACGCTGCTGAAAAGACTTCGTCACAAAAGGTAAAAGGTCTATACCCTTTAGATCCCTCCACAACTCCGCACATCTCATCTTTTTTCCATTTCATCCGCAGCTGCAGCGTTCAGCTCCAGCAGCTCGCGGGTCATCTGGGACCTCGCAGTCAAACTTGGCACGAGCAAGCGAAAGCGGGGGGCAATAAACCAGAGCGCACAGAGGACGGCCAGCTTCTTTCGCCCTGCAGAATTGGCAAAATCTCTGGCCTTGCAAGCTCCCCACCAGCAAACCAGATCCTAACCCCAGACAAGATCAAGCTTTGCGCTGTTTCAGCTGCACCTTGAACCTTGAAGCTGCACAGCATTACGCAGCTATGCAGCTACACCACCCTCTCCACACGAGCTCCAAGCAGGCAGAGCTGCGTGCGCCGTAGCGCCGCCTGCGCCGCCTGCGCAGCGAGTGCAGCCTGCGAGGCTGCAGCAGCCTTGGCAGGTGATGGGAGGCTGCGGAGCTTTCGCAGCAGCCGTGCAGCTTGCTGGACCTCCTCCTCTGCGCCTATCGGCTCGGTGAAGCGCCGGCGCAGCTCCCCATGGCCCGTCACCAGACGGAACTCGCCTGGGAGCCGAACGAGCTCGAGGTGAGCGAGCTGGGAGAGGTCAGCCTGCACAGCCTGCACCTCGAACTCCATACGGCGTCCATCTGTGAAGAGCACCCGCACCAGGACGCGTTCGTTGCAGCGAAAGACGGTAAGGCGAGCAGACTCGTCTTCAACCTCCGCCTCCCGTAGCCAGCCCTTTGCATGCCCTCCTTTGATGTTCTGGTAGCCCTTGGAAGGAAGGACGCCCAAGCTGCACTCTTCGGAGGCATTGTGCTGAAGCCAGCCTGCAGCCTCCTGCACGAGGGAGAGGAGTCGACACGTAAGCACGGAGTCTCCCGGTGGTAGCAGGTCTGCACACAAACAGTCCGGCAGCTGCCACTCCACGTTAGAGGATGCCAACTTCCAGAAGCGGCCTCCCAAAGAAGATTCCAGAAAAGCCCACTGAGATTTGCCCTCCGTGTCATCCCAAGCCTCCACGCTCGCCTCTTTTCTGCTCAGCCGTATGACGGACTGAGGAGTCCACAAGAGCATCGCAGGACCTTCCCCGCACGAAGCCATGCAGCCACTGCAAGCAGCCGGGGAAATTTCATCGTTGCTTACGGCAACCTCCTCCAGCTTTTCGAACTGAGGGAGCGGCGCTGTCACGCAGCTACCGCTCTCGAGAACTCGGCCGCTGTCCATGCACTGCCGCAGCGCTTCCGCCAGACTTCTGATGAGAGTGACCCTCTCGTTGCAGGTCTCATGTTGTAGCAGTGCCATCAGCAAAGGAAACATCCAGGCAACTTCCACACATTCATCCATGGGAAAGCACTGCACCTGTCGCACGCAGTCATGGAGAAGGTTGGCGGCTCGCCCTTCGCTTTGGAAGAGCCGTGGGCATGGCCATTGCTCCACACTTCCATCGCTGGGCGTCTTCTGCAATTCCAGGGCTGAGGAGCCCAGGGGTCGCAGCCACTCCACCGCGAAGGTTCGGCCGTGTGGGGCCAGAAGCAGCTGAGCCGAGCCATCCAATGAGGAGACTTCTATGCTTCCATCTTCCCGTTCTTCTGCCTGAGACGGCCATGCGACGCGGGAAAGCTTGGCGTAACTGCCATAGCTCCGCTGGCAGAGTTCCGCTGGTTGCAGGGATGACGGATGAGGGTGGAACCTGGTTCATTCATAAGTCTCTAGCGATGAGAACCAGTCAGGTTTGCTTCTTACTGAGAGCGTATAAATCGTAAACAACTTCCACAATGACCCAAGGACCTGTCCCTCACAGCAGCTGCCGCCATGATCTTCCCACGCAGGTCCGCCCCACCCTGAGGCGAGCATTGGGACAACAGCCGCTGCCGGCGGCCATCAGAGCTGAAGAAGGTGGCCTGCACACCAATAAAACGTCATCGGAATCAACGAATCCTTATGGAAGCCAACATAAACCATGTACCTGGGCATAGCCGCTCTGATGGCAACAAGAAGATTAGGCCAAATCAAAGCAAAACCGATCCACAAGTCAACTTTGGCAGAGCAGTTCTCTACAGAATCTCCTGCTAGTTTCAGGTTGTCTCGAACCTCACAGGTAAAAATTCCTTGCGGAGAGCTTCAAAATAGATTAGTTGTTGGCAAACTGGCCTTCGTAGCGGTGGGCGGATGCAAGATGACAGCAGATCCGTCGCTGAAGGTGGCTTCGGCCCGACCGCTAACCTGTGCTCAAGGGACCGCTTATCAGGGTTTGGGCTGCATGCATCTTTGGTCTGTCGTGCGGAGTTTGTGCATAGGGCCTAGGGTGCGCGGCTTGGGGGTGGTTGGTTGCTGCAGTCAAAGGTTGTCAGAGGGGCGCACAAGCGTTGAAATTGAAAGCATCCAAAAACATGAAGCCTCTCCTGACAAATCCCCAGCAACGTACAGAACCAGGCGCTCAATGGACCATTTCCCCGCCCAAGATGCCATGAGACTAAGGCTCACATGAGCTAGTCGCGGCAACTAAACCTGACCATGTTCCCCGCAGAGAGCATGACATCCAGGCCGTACTAAATGCTTGCACTGCCCGCTTTCAGTAAATGAGCTATGACTCGCATTGGGCACGTTCTTCCGGGCTGGTTAGTTCCCTAACCGTAGCTTGGGAGGTGGCCAGGTCTGCAAAGAGCTCAACTGTGAGGATTGAAGTTTGACACTAGCCCATCAAGTCATCAAATTGAAAAACATAGCACGTTGGCAGAATTGTGGTTGTGGTAATGGTTTTCTTTCCTTATGCATCCTCATCCGTTTCGTGTTGCCTGTGGCTGAATTGATAAGAGCAGAGCGATGAATGACGTCATGACATGGGAGCTGACAGCACTGATGTGTACGGCTTCCAGGTGCCCACTAGAGAGGACACTGCAGCCCTGAGATTCCTGCGCCAGCGCGAGGGCAGAAGGGGCCTCCACAGAAACACGACAGCGATAGTGCGCAGCTATTGCTCGTTGCCGTGATGAAGGAATGCCAGCGACAACAAACGAAACGTTTGTCGTTGCAATCCACAAGCTCATGGCAGAGAGGCCTTGGCAACGGCCTCCACTTTCGCCTCCTAGTGGAGGGCACCCAATAATTCTGAAGTTCAGTGGGAAGAGCCCCCACCTCTTCCGCTGTCGCTCCATCTGCCAGGCCCTGGAAGGAGTCCAGGGCCTCTCCAAGGGCTATCTGGTGTAGGATTTCGGGCATGAGGCTTTTCTGGAAAACACCAACGATTCCTCTTCCTTCCAACCTCATTGAAAAATGTTCTCGAAAAAAGCTCGCCTTTTGCCTGAAACACCTGGATCCCAGGATCTACTTTGTGGACGTGCGGCTTGCCTGCACGTGAATTGGCTCGCTCCAGGTCTCCCCGGCTTCTCCCTTCTTTTCTGAGTGCTCTGAAGGTTGGACGGCGCCGCCTCACACCGCAAGCCCGCAAGCAACACGAATCGCACAGAAAACAGATTTCAGTCATGGTACAGTGAGGCGCGAGCCTTTGCAGGGCACCGCAGGCAAAGGAATGCTTGCAAGCTGTATGTCCTTGAGGCTCAGGTCCACAAGTGACACGTCAGGCTTCGAAGCAGCTGCAGGCTCACCTCTCCGAAGCTAGCCGCATCAGCGCTTTCTGCTTTTTCTGGAGCAGTCTTTGGCTCCTTTTCAAGCTCGGCTCACATCTGCTAACAACAACATGGTCAGGTCCCAAGACCTCAAGGACGTCAGGCACCGCAGCTCCGCGGACACAGGACATCCTCCACAGCCCAACGTAGCACGCAACACTGTACAATTTGTTGGCACGCGCCACACATCTCCCTACATTAGATACATACTGACATGTGTATATGCATTCATTCTCAGAAGGCTGAAAGCTAAGTCCAGCTCCTGCCTCACAGCGCATCTGAGGGTTGCCACGACTTCTGTGGTGGTTGTGGACACCTTGGCAAGTCTTGGCAACAGCGCAAAGCCCTTACGGGGAGATTGAATATGTGTGTATATGAATATATAGATGAATACCATTTCCTACTCTCATCATTACGATTGTAGGGATCTACAGAAGGACATCGAGGGAGCGGCAAACTCCGCAGACAGGTGGCGAAAGGGTTGGGCACCCTTCCTCTGGGCAGCCCGGCGTACCTGGGCCGTATGGTCCAAGAGCTGCTCGGCTCCCTTCACGTCCGAGAAGTGTAAACAAGTCATTACTGCTCTCTTTCTGGAGCTACCCTCTTTCCTACTGTTCATACTCTTCATAGGTTTCCACATGGAGTGATCGCAGAACAAATCTGCCAGTGTTCCGGACATGGCCAAATTCGCGCAATACTGTTATCCCATTCGCCCTAATATGTCCTAGCATGGTGCCGACTTTACACCCTGAACCCGAAACCTAGAACTTCCAGAAGCCTTTTGGGGTCGGCCCTCTCCCTTGGCGTGCCTCGGGGGCCAAGTCCAAGCACACGGATGCGTGCACCTCATCTCAGCACGTCAAAATCATACTACGGAATTCGGGCTGCAAATCTTAGGATACTGGCATTTTTTGTTGAAGGTACGCTGGCTCGGACAAATGTTGGCATGAGAGTTCTTCCGATGGAGCCACACTTATTGTGCTGGCCCTCATCCTCGAACTTGTCAGCAACGATCCTTCGGAACTGTAAGTGCAAGCAGGATAACAGTCTTGGCCAGAAACTCGCAGGCAAAGGATCCCACCTCTCGCCCAGATCCAAACCAGGGCGATAACTCACCCTAAGGTGAACCTTAAAACCCCGGAATCCTGGACCCGAACGGCAACCCCCAAAACTCCTCAAGCCGCAAATCATCGCCAACTACTAAACCCCCTACCCCTAAACTATCTGTAGAATGGATTCCCAGGCCTGCAGTCTCTGCTTCTGCGGAGTCGCAAGCAGCAGCCAGAATGGAGCCCGAGACCGCACCTACGAGCTGAACCCCACCCACTACTGGTAAGGGTTCGTAAGGGTTCTTATAGGTTCCATTATACCAGCATCACTGGGTGGGGAGCTCAGGGCTTCGGGCGAAGAAGACTCCCTGCCAATGCAGCCTATGAATGGAAGGTTTTTTTTGTCAGGGCATCCCGTCATAACAACCCCGAAGAAGAAATTAGAATGATGATAATGTTGCAAATGGTGCGAATGATATGGCGAAGGTATTTCCACAAGAAATAACCGTAATGACATTAGGATAGACTCGGAACCACCTTTGATCAAACACTCGCCCAAAGAAAAAAAAATATGACAACAATTCTGGCAGCTGCAGACACTAAACCCTGGAAGGGGTCTGGCCAGAAACACAGTCCCACTCGGAAAAGCAAGAATGGCAACGACCCATGCCAATGATACAGCATTCAGATAGCTTGAATGCCGAATACCGGAGAGCAACTCCTCACAATTAAAAAAGAACCCGAAACCCTGAGCCCTAAATCCTGAACCCTGAACATTAAGCCCTAAAACCCTAACCTATCTTACACAAGAGCAAGAGAATTTGGACATAGCTTTTTTGGTTAATAGAGTAATATTGGGATAATGGTAGAGAAAATGGGAACCACTATAGTATATTGGGGTACTATTGAGAGCATTTGGACATGGCTACTTGCAGTCGACCCCAGGAGTGCCTGGCACGCGGCCTCGAAGAGCAGCGCCTTGCCTTGCGCCCCGACACATCTCATATCCCTACATATCGCTTTGGGCTCCAAGGATATAATGTCCAGACACTGGAGAGTATCCTGCTGTTCTACGTTTATCGCAACTCTTGACATTGATGCACTACTTTGTTACTACTACTTGCCCATATGATGATGACCAAGGCGGTTGTCGCCATTCCTTCTGTGAAAACTTCTGCCATCGAGCTGCCGCGACCGCCAAAACGAATTGTTTCGGACAGGGCCTGCTTGCGGGCAAATGGGTCTACCATTTAGGCTCAGTAGTAACGGAACTCAAGTTAGGTAGTCATATTCACAGAGGGGTAATCATATTCACAGAAGAACTTGAAGCAACCTACCTTTTTGTTGATGGTCAATCTTCATTCCTGTAACCATGTTATTCATGGGGACTTGATGGAGATCTGGCCTGATCTGGAGGGGCCAACACCTCCGGCATGAAGTCCATGACGCACAGCGCAAGGACAGGAACCTGAGGAACACGTTATCACAAGCAGTCTCGCAATGGTGGAGATGGCTAAGACCCACGTAAAGCATGCGAAAGCCAATCTCGGAACATATAAATAGTCAGAAGCCTCACCTTCAAGCTACTCACAAGACCTTGCTGACTTTCCCATCCAAGCCACGGCGTCGCTTGAGAGCTTGGCACCTTCTTGCCTCCGCAAGAGCATCGAAAGGGTGCTTCCCACTATAGGCGCCCCAGAAGCAAGGGGTAGCCTGTAGAGCAAGGGCCGACCCCTAACCTCTGGGGGATGCCTTGCATGATGGCCAACCCCAACAAAGACTCCCCAGCCTCTTGAAGCTCAGGTCCCTGGCCACAAACTCCAAGGAAAGGACCATGGCCGAACTCTCCGGAGGTGCCATGATGCTTTTGTCTCCATATTGGCTATATGGGGATAATCGAAAATAAAATAGAAACTACAAAAGTATATTAAATTGGATTCAGGACGTCTGGGAAAGAGGGTTTCGATCAGCCCTTCGCACGTCTCGGCCAGGGTCAAGGGCTCAGGGCACATATTCCACGACCTCTGCGTTCCACTTAGCAGTGTGACGACCATTACTACCATCCATAGCACTGCCATGATTATGACTTGCAAACATGTGGTTCCTGTGATTATCCTTGCTGCTGTTATTGAATTCGAGCACCACCACCAGGCTTACTTTCACCAAATGATTGTCGTCATTTCCAGTCCTGCCAGTTGGCTGACATGTCTTCGCTCGAGCACTGGAAGCGAGACCTTCGGCAAGAATAACAAGTTGGATGTTTCTCAAAACGGGGGCCTATGTCCCCAAAGCATGAGACTCTTTGCAAAGCGTTTCAGTGCAGCATAGAGACCCTGAAAATGGAGCCCAATGGAACCACAATCTTGGGAGACTCCCGTGTCATCCAGACGACATTGCACCACTTCAGCGGAGGCAGGTAGCGCACCGATGCGCACCAGGGCACCGTAGTAGAAGTAGCTCAGGAAGCCTGTTCATGTCACCGTCAATGCTTATGCCTTGACTGCTACTTTTGTTCTTGCCATTTCTATATTGTCTCTGCCGCCCTCACATTCAGGACTGAAAAGAAGTTCATCCTACATTCAGTGTTAGTATCTTGCCCGTTGTACAAGAAGACAAACAAGCCCGGGAGGACTCTGCGCGGTCACTTGCGCAGGGCTGCTGTTGCCAGTGCTATTGCCTGAGCATTGGGGAAGGCACGCCGATCTCAAATCACACTGCGCATATAGCATTCCGCATCGAAGTGCCAGGAGCAAGTGCAGAAATTCAACGGAATTTGGTTTACTTCAGCAAACCGCCACACTATCATCTACCTCCCCAAACTTCATGGTAACACCAGACCCCTGATGACCCCTGAAATCATGAGGAAGTAGGCTCACAGCTGGCAGAAATGTCGAAGATTGGCTGATCCAGAAGCTGAGCCGCAAGGTGGTAGACCTGCTTCTGAAGGAAATCTTGGGGTTGTATTGGGATAATGGAAAATACAATGGAAACTACTATAATATTCGGAGAAATATAGGGGTTATACAACGGGGGAGGATACACTACATCATGTCATACATGTATAGGGATTCAAGAATATGTCCTATCAAGACTCCACTTAGTTTTGAGAAATTCAAGCCTTAGAAATCATGATATAGAACCATTTATGACTGTTCATGCGGACTCATGCCAACTTGGCTATTCAACATGAAGGATTCAACTTGGGGGTGTAGGTCTGGGGCTTTGGATTCATGATTGCAAGGTGTAGAACCCCGTCGTCTTGCATTCATGCATTTCATGACTGCTGGCCCTATTCTGAGCGTCACCATTGCCATGTGCTCTGCAATTACGTGGAATCCTCAGAACCAGATAGGAGCCACGAACCCGAATGCAGACACGTGTCACGTACATGCAATGATAGAGCGAAACCACTTAGGAGATTTAGGTCAGGGGTCATCCCTTTCTCCTCTTTCTCCTCCTCTCTCTTTTCTCCTCTCTCTTGCTCCTCGTCTCTCTTTTCTCCTCTCTCTTTGTCTGCCTCTCTCTTTTCTCCTCTCTCT